CCCCCTGCGATAAAACAAAAAAAATAAATGCAAAAGCATCCCTATGACTCCAAGGGTTACACACACACACACACCACGTGAGAATGTTCTCCCCACATATGACAGCCACATGCATCCACTCTGCCTCAACTGCATTGGACAAGATTTCTCTTCCAGGCATTCAGCTTCACCACAGCAAATGATGCGTCAGATCGGGATCCAATCCAGTGGATCCTGGAGGGTTCTGAGACCGGCTCCTTGGAGCATCTAACAGCTTCCTTTGGGGCTTCGGAAGGAACAACTTGAATTGATTGAACTGATAAGCAACGGTTGACAGAACGGAGGCCATTGCTATTAGGGTGGAGGCCATCGCTGCTATTAGGTTGGAGGCTGTGCTCAATAGCGCTAGAAGAGGGGGAGCTGGGTGGCAGCCTGGCTGTGTGCCTGGTGCACCCGACCTTTTGACTGAGGCTCCTACTGGTTCAACTTGCATTCACAGAACACTGACTTTGCCACGCCAGAAACACGTACTACAAATACCGGCTGGATCTCTTGGGGTCAGGAGCAGCCAAATGATGAGAAGTGGATAAATAATCAATTTTGATTTCCATTTTCTTCCATAGTCTCTTTGGCAGCTACCTTCTGTCTGCAGCAAGTCTTCAATTCACAAGGCCACAGAAGGAGAATCCAATCCCGGTTTCCCTTTCATACGGATGCATTCCAGGACATTTCTTCAGATGCCGTTGAAATTGGTACCTCAGCGGTGGACTTGGCGCCGGAGTACTCGATGCTTGTTTGCAAACCTCAAACATGATCCATTCGCATATTTTGCATCACACGCACTCAAGCAGGAATTGGACAGGATTCTAGATTTTGCAGAAAAGGAGGATTTGCCATGGACTCCTTAAAAAAAATCGAAGATTCGATCTCAGGAACTATGGGCGTCTCAGCATGCTGGTTTATACAGAGTCGTCATTCGTTGAGCAGACTACTCCGGGTGCCTTTACTGTCACCGACCAGCACCTTAGCTGAGTTTGTTCGATTTCGGAGTGGTGGCAAGAGGCAGCACCATATCTCTTCAACCAGCTCTAAATTTTCCACCAGCACTGTCAATGATAATTCAACAAGGACCGAAACCACACTCTGCATTTTAGGAACTCCACGGCGGAAGACGTGACCTTTGAAGATCTAGACTTGGACTATGGGGAGATTGGAGGCGCGGCAAGAGGATTTTTCACTCCTCGAGCTTCAGGGATGACATGGCTTGGCCAGTCTTGACACTGGAGTTGTGCGTCCCTCTTGCCCCCCGCGCGGCTCATGGTGGTAGTTTTAAGCGCAACTTGGAAGGGTGTCACGGTGTCGCACTGTCTGTTTCAGAAACTGCCGGCGCAGTCTCGTTTCTTTGCAGGAACCCTACTGTGGTCTTCACCAACCATGACCAGCGAGATTGACCACTACGTAGTTTACTTTGCCGAGGCGCAAGGGACTTTTTTGGTTGCTGTCAACTTCCTGTCGGAGATGGACAATCTGAGATACCTGCCCAGGATGCTGTGGGCACAACACGCACGTTTTACACGAACACGACCTGGGAGTATGAGAACGTGACAGTGCCCGCAGAGACAAACAGGTCTGATCACACTTACTGGCTGGCCGCTTGGATTGACACCGCCCAAGAAAGAGACTTTGTTTGCTCTTGAGCTTTGGATACTTTCTCTATATTTTCAATTTCATTTCCAAGGTTTATACCGCATCCAGCCTGGTGGAGCAAACAACCCCAGCGTATCTGGCAATCTTTGACAGAAATGGCACAGTGTATCAGCCCACCTTCACTGGCAATGACTGCCTCGATGTGATGTTTTTTTTTTCTTTTTAATGAGCATAACTTGCAATTGCGAGATAATGTGAAAGCGATGGCCCCCAACCTAATACCAATGGCCTTAAATGGCGAAATATAACGCTTGTGAACATGGAACCACCTGATCTCGTGCAGGACTTGAACCTTGATGTGCTTGAGGGCACGCTGTACTGGACGGCACAGGCTCGGGTGAGTGAACACACACACACACAGGCAGAGCACACTAGTTTGACATGCTCCAGCCTTGCTAGGCATCAAGCGACGAGCTTCGAGGAATCCAGGACAGTCAGCCAATTTATTTTTATGGTTTCAGGACTAAACCTGCAGCTGGTGTCTCTAAGGCTCTATCTCAACACCGGATTATAATATCTTGACTTTTGCCATCATAGATACACAGATGTGGTATTGAGAAAGCAACATTATTGAGACCAGCTATGCACCACATTTTGTTGAGGGGTCGAGGATCTATAAATTCTTCATGAGATTCAGGACTACGTGGTCTATTTGGCAAGCAGTGAGACAGGTGATTCACGTTCTCAGGCGATTTACACAATATCTTTAGCACAGCACAAACCGCCGCTTTGCCTATACAGCCATCACGGGCTGTCGGATCCTGCAGGTCGATTCAGTGGTCGTTGGCACGAACCAGCAGCTTGGCTTTCAGTGTTTTATTCTTGCCAAAATCCAACAAAGGGAATTACCAGCAAGGATCAATCACCCAACTGTGAATTCTTCGAGAATCACGTTGGTCAGGCTGAGCCTCCCTACAAATCTTCAGCGAAACTCACACACGCACTTCCTCGTCTATGCAAGGCAAGTTGGACAGGACGCCTTTTCAGAGCAAAGAACTTGACAGCAAATTAGATCAGACTGGGCAGTGACAAAAGAGTGTGTGTTTTGATGTGTTCTGTTTGTCCAGCAAATTACCCAAGCAAGACAAAATTTTGTGCTCACATTGCACCCTTGCATCCCATCATTTGTAGTCTGAAGCAAAGTCATGGGCATGACCTGTAAACATTGGAATTTGGAGAGTCGTGTTTGATAAACCATGCCGAATGTCGCAGGTCCTCCCTGGCAGAGCAGACCACTCCAGCCGCTCGAAGTGAGGGAATGCAAGACCGGATTTCGAGAAACTAGTCAAACAGCAATGCCGAAGCTGAGCTTTATAAAGTTCAAAGAGCCCGGTGCTGGTATTGGAATGATAGCCCTTTTGTGCCAATCAAGGTTTCACATCATCCATCTATGAATATCTACCAATTGGAACTTAGGCCTTCATCTCTTTTGTGGAAGCTGCTGCTCTCTTCCAGGTGCTTGAGCCGTGCAAGTGCAAGTACTGTTAACTGCTTTTGCCCTTTTTCTGGCTCCCGGCTTTTAACACACTTGCAATGGCCTCCAAACTACTCACGATGGCCTCCAACCTAATAATTAGCGATGGCCTCCAACCTACTAGCGACTTTTCAAGACTAGCTGTGTCAAGTATTTTGGGTTTGTTGAAGACGTTCGGGGTTACCGGTGCTGATGGGTTGATTGTGTCTGGCTTTGCCCACAGGCATCAAACCTGTTCTTCTCGGACGGTGATTTGGATGAGACTGAGCTTGGAGGGAGACTTGGCAAATTCACTGCGATCACATAAATTCTTTACGAACAAATGCGGCTAGGAGGCTTGAAGATTTCAGATTCTCCTGTAGAATGAGACACCATCCCATACTACACTAAAGACACAGAGCAGGAGGATTACGTGGACCGTTTCCTCTTCTTTGTGCGCTCTAGTATGCTTTCAATGCTTTGATACGCTTCCTGAGGCTTCGGACAGGATGTTGGTGTAATTGTGGACCTGTGCCAATCTGGGTCATAGACCTACAGGATCACACTCAATTTGAAGAAATTGTATAATGGTGTTGCTCTAAAGCAAGTAGGACATTAGATAAGCAACAACTCCTCACTTCCAATTGAACTATTGGCCCCCACCGTGCGACTAGACCCCAGTATATGGGATCGGCGCTCTTCAGGAATTTGTCATGGTCACTGCCATCAGTGTCTCGGCCATTCATTACTTCTGCTGTTTCCTTCACAAGCTGTAGTTTTTTGGCAGAATGAGTGTCCTGGCCTTTGGTAAAGATGGCAAGAGCTTCTTCAAAGAAGGCTTGTTGAAGCCTTTGCGGCGAGGTCTTGGGTGACATCACTTTCTTCCGAGTTTACTTCTCCACCACTGGAACTACTCAAGGCACTTATATAAGATAACCAGGGTCAATTTGATAACAGCTTCTCCTTTCCAGTCCTTGACAGGAGATGACACAACGTCATTGCTTGAAGAGGTCGACGCACTTTGGCTGCATCAGGTTGCCTTTTTGCCAAAGCCTTATTATGCCTCAGCGTGGTATTCTACAGTTGATAAGGGTTAGCATTAGCGTCCAAGACGGAAATATCGAAAAGCAACGCATGTGTTGTTCAAGACCGAACACACTGAGCTAGTTAGTACTGTACTCAGTCTGTGGTGGTTGAGGTGCCTTTGACTGAGAAGGTTATTCCCACCGACACAGCGCTGCAGTTGCAGCCTCGGAGTGCATCCGCATCATGGTCATTCGGGAGATGAAGATGTTTTGATACAATCGCAGTGTGAATCACCATTTGCGTCATTTCACATGATTCGAATCTAATTTGCTAAAGTGACATTCACAGACTCTCCTGCTTAAAGCAGGCCAGTCCAGGTCATGTCATTGCCGAGGTCTTACGTGTACCTGGCCATCACCTCCAACTCACCAACAACGGAACAACGCACTCCTTCCACATGGTTGCTGTATGATGAAGTGGCCAGTGCCCCTTACCTTCACATTGGGTTTGCCATGGTTTACTCACGCGACTGTCCGGTTGCAACTTGTTTTATTCTTTGCCTCAAGTACCCTATCGATGTTTTATTGGTCCAGGCCCGACGTAGGCCTTGTGCTACAGACACGTTTTGCAATTGATTGGATCAGTCGGAAGACGCGACAATGATACTTGTATCATCTTGTATCACATCTTGGAACTAACTCTACTCTTGTTACCTTGTTCTTGTTTTTCAGGTTTCCAATGTGAGCTTCACAGATCTGGACTTGGATGAGACAGAGTTGGCTGGGACGGTTTATTGGGATCCACCTGCTAGAACTGTGGCCGTCACAGCCACCTGGCAGCATCAACCAAACACTAGCCATACTATAGAAAGTCAGTGACAAGGAGCAACAGCACATGCAGGAACCACAGTCAGCGGGAAGTGACAGCTTGCTCTTTTGGAAACTTGAAGGGCTGGTGGGTGTGAACAATTCTGTTTACTCTTGTTTGCTTGCAAGCAGAAACCATTGCGCATTCACAAAGGCATACCTGATGTACCTGGCCCAAGACAGCATCGGAAGTTGGAAGTCACAGTGCCTCGTCTCTTTTCGTTTTTGTGTTGCCACCACCGAGACAACAGAGTTGAACTCTGATCCCTCTATGTTGGGGTGGTAGGTCCTGGTAGGTAGCAGGCCAGAGCGGCCCTGGTGGATCAGGACATTTTCCGACATAGGCGCATCTGTGGGGTTTGTCCCATATCATATACCTGTAACTGTAAAAGTCAGTAAACAACTATCAGTATTTAGAGAAAGGCTGTTACAGGGAATAGGATACATCCAACCCGTCTGGTAGTGGCTTTTTGGAGGACACTTTGACATTCACAGTTCTTTTTTGAGAAAGAGTGGTTTCTCAGGATTGGTGAAGGTATTCCTCATGTGGATGGAGCAACACAGATGGACATCCCAGCAGACACCGCCAAAGGACACAATACTGACCCTTGGGTTTGATGTGCGTGTGTGCGTTGGATGCGCTTTGTGCTTTGGATTTTGCCAGTGCATCCAGTTCAACTAGGCTCCTGGAAGCCATGCAAATGCAGAGGGGTGTGACCAAAAGCCAATGTCTAAAGCAGTTGACAATCCTTGTTTTGCTCAGGATGTGGTAGTCTACACTCGATCGTCTCTTGTGGAGCCACTCTGATAAAACATTTTGACCCGCGGAATCTTTTGAATTCTGCGATGAACTAAGTATTCCTAGAAATCTAGGAACCAAGTGATCAGTGCGTGAGCCATTTGCTTCATACCTAGAAGCTAACTAGTCCCCCCTAATTAAGTAGGCGCATTCAGTAAGGAGGCAGGGCCAGGGAAGAGCATAGATTGGACGGGGCCGGGTAGAGACATTTGAGCTTCCAACATCGAAGTGAGTTCGTAAAGTCAGATGCTTCAGTCCAAAGGTGGGAGTGGATTAAGCGAAGAGATGAGCAAAATCAGTTTGGAGTAAATTCCCTATCGTGTATCAAGTAGGAGGTGATATTGATGTTTTGATCTTAATGATTCTAATGTTCTCATTCTCATATATGAATGACACAGGTTGGCCAGGTAGGCCTTGATCATACTGGACAATCCCCACACCAATTGCAAAGGATCCATCTCTCTTGCCGAAGCACTGTCTACTACAGGCAAACGACCCCTGGGAGCTTCACTTTCTCTGATACAATCGCCTCTGTGTCAGCCTTGGTGCCCAAGCTCAGTTGGTGTGAGCTTTTCGTACGTTTCCTTTCTTCACATTCGTTTCATTTCAGACATTTGCTCAAGCTCAAGAGTGTTTGATAGCAGATATAGCAGGTCTTTGCAGATCTTGATCTTGATGTCCTGGAAGTGGGAGGCACCTTGGACTGGCCGCTGGCTTAGCACAGTCACATCAAATCCCATTGGAAAAGAGTCCAGACCAGAGACTTTGATCGCCGCTTTCATTTGCTTTCTCAACTTGTCTTTGTCATGCAAATGTAACAATGTACTTTGCTTCGTGAAAAGTTGCGTAGTTTTTCATAGAATAATACCTTTGTCCCATCCTAACCTCTCTCCCCCTCTTTGTGTTCCTAGGCTCACATCATGCACTGTTGGTCAGTTTGTTTCTAGCTTTTTCACTTAGCCCTACTTCAGGACCCCACCAGCCGAGCTTACCTATGTCTCGGCCTTCCGGGTGTTCTTGGCAGCAGATGCAAATGGGACTGACAGAATACAAGTTCTGACAGATGTGGATGCTCCGCGGCTCAATTCATATTGCGCTTGCTTGTAGTTTCAGATTGCGAGGTGCACAGATGAGATGTACATGGGAGTTTGAGTCAATTTTTTCAATTGCTTGTGCCCGTGTCAAGTCTCAACTCAACAAGCTTCAATTCATTTCCACCTGCAGGGGCATGAATTCTTGAAGCAATTCTTGCCTTCAGCCTTCGCCACGAATTCTTCAATCCCTTTTGTAGGAGCAAGTTGCAGTCTTTGGAGTTTGACCCAGCTCAGCTCGGCGCAGGTTTCGGGCACCAACTACAATGCCAGTGAAAGCAACACGCGACTTGGCACGAGGGGCTACTTTCGGAAGGCAAAAGAGACGGCCGGTGTGCAGCTCATCGCCCAGTTGAATTTGAAAGAGTTGTTCAATACTCAATACAATGCCACACACATGTTGGGGCATGGTTTGTCTTTGCATGACAGTTGAACATTTGGGTAAGAGTTCCAGAAGAGTGCAGTCTAGATATATAGGGAATCAAAAACAGTATGACACCTACACCTACCTGTGAAGACATGAAAATCTGAGGTGGAGCACTCAAACAGAACCCCTTTCTTCGAGTCGGAATTCTGAAATCTGAAGTGAGTTTCCCCTCAAGGAGTCAATCCCCAGTCACATAGTTTCGTGGTGAATTCCGTCGACCTGAACTGTAAAGTAGGGGAATACAACCAGAAGCCATCAAAGAGGAACATGAACATACCTTTCGGTGGCGGACAAATCTCAAAGCCGGCATCTTATGTAACCTTTACTACCGTCGGACCGTGGAAGTTCAACTGTTCGGGGGGATTGTCTTACAACTTGAAGTTTGAAGCTGGCGAGTGGTGTTAATCGAGAACGAAAGGAGAGCTGAGATTGTCGACATGCCAGGTTCAATATCCCGGCCAATACCAATTTCACAGGCTACACTCATTGTCCCTTGGCTTCTAAAGTGGGAGCCACAGAGCAGAAGTCATTTTCCGAGACGTTTCTTAATGTTTCCGGTTGCCTTTCTTGAGTGGTAAGGCCTGGTTTACACACGTTCTACACTCTTGGAGCAGAGTACCCCAACAAGCTTGCTGGTGGAAGACTTGGACGGCTCCGTCTCGCAAGTGGCCTTCAGTGACAAGGCCAATCCTAAATGGCCCCTGTCCTTTTCTTGGTGTGCATGGAGCTATAATGAGCTTTTGATGAGTATAACATCGTACTAATCTCCAAGATTTTGCTTTGCACTTGCTTTACATTTCTCGTTTCAATGTACAGTTGTTGGCTGTTCCAGCTGCAAGATGAATCCACGCAATGTCCGGTTTTGAGTTTGCACAGAAGGCAGCTTGATTCCCCTCGCCAAGATGATCTTGTTTTCAAAAGCCTTGTAGGGCCTTGCTAATCCATGTTGTAAGAAGCACTTACTTTGCAAATCAGCCTGGACTCCATGATGCCATGACCATGTGCTTTTGGAAGGATTTGGACACTGGAGAGCTGGGCGGCGAAGTGTTTCTTGTCGCACTGGAAGTTTTGATCTCACAGTAAGTAGTAGCGTCCTTGCTCCTAGTAGTAAGGCCGGGAGCCCCTAGTAGCGTCCTTGCTCCTAGTAGCGATGCCCTTTGCTCCTAGTAGCGTCCAGCGTTCACAAATCCTCTACAGAACTTTGCTTTCGGTTTGTGCTCACACGTTGAAGAATGTGCTAACTGGTACACAAAGTCCATAACAGTCCAGTAAAGACAGCATACGGTTTGGACGCTGCTTAGCTGCTTGCACAGAGGTTCAGATTGTGTGCATAGGTTCAGACCGTTATCATGAAGGTTGAGGTAGTGATATCAAATTCAAAGTGTGCTCAGATCGTGGCAGCCTCCTGACATTTTGGATGGCCGGGTGCTCACATACAGCTGGAAGCTTAGTTTCAGGGTGATGTTGTGCAACGGCCCTCAGATCTAATTATGTTTGCAGGTTTTGTTTCCGGAAGTGCACCAGTCAGAGTTTCATTGCATGATTGAGCTATCCAGTGCCTAGACTTGAGCTTTTTGCCATGCCTCATTGTCTGAAGGTGCCTACCTCTCCACTGATGCTGCGGGTAGCATCAAATCTCTGATTTCCAGTCTTCCAGTTGGGACCAACCTGGCACCATGGCTGGATAGTCCTATTGCCTTTCATCAACATTCGTACAAAATCGAGACGTTTTGACATTTATCATTCAAGCTTGTTCTGTGTTATTCTTTGTGCCAGGCAGCTCTACCAGCCGAGACGCCACTGGACAGCTTCAACTATTTCACTGTCTACTCGGAGTCATCTTTGGAGGAGCTTCACAAAGTGCATGTAGACATGCACATCTTGCATCTCAATTCACCCAAGCTGTGCTACTTCAATTAATGATTGAAGGCAATCTTGGCAGCTGACGTGCCATGATGTGCAGCCATTGAACAGGCTCAGACAACGCCAACATCACTTTTGATTGAGGACTTTGACGGGACTGTGACTTGTCAATAGCTCACAGCAATAATGCCTTGGGAGATTGGGTAAACTTCTTTTGAATGACAACTTAAACAGCAGTTTGTGCTTCGACATCAGGTCCTTTTGTAATGGCCAGTGAGCAAGAAATGTGTTGCACGGAAGAGGAAGGCTTTGGACATGCTATTTTACAATGCTTTGTACCAAGTTCTCATTGGCATTGATGGACTCGTCATTGCCTTGGAAAACATTATTTTTGAAGAATGATAACACCATTTTTTTTGTGTCAGTCTCATGCCATCTCGTTCAAGACCAAGTTTGGGGACGATACCGATGGTCATGTTGGTTGTAGGATGGGCTCTTGCCGGGAAACTTATGTAGAACATGAGGGACATGCCACTGTCTATCTATCTATCTATCTATATTTAATTCTTTCTATACTCACAAAAGACATTCACCACGATCAAAGAGTTGAATACCCTAAACTACTTCACTAGGGTTGAAGCAAAAGATCGACCATCAACGTTTAGTGTAGGGAGACATTTGGAGACATCCGAGAAGAGCTTATTGTGACTTTATAAGTGGGACGTTGGTTTTGCACTTTTTTCACTTGGCTGCTGTAACAGAAGGTTCATGTCACAAGCACTGCTTTGGCAATTTTCCGTTTGTTCCAGTACCAAAATATCAGTGAAGCCTAGGTTGCAAACCTGTCATTCCCCGAGTGCGATCTCGATGCAGAAGAGCTGGGAGGCATGAACATTGCTTTGATTCGATTCTGTGAAGGGGCTCGTCGTATTGTCAGAGCACACATCACACATGAACTTTATGCTTTGGCGAGGCTACCTTACCTGGGATTCGCCATATGACATAGCTGAGGTACAGGGCCAGTGAGGGAGGGTGGATAAAGTCAGTTGGCACATGTAGGTTTTGTGACCCAATCTGTGAACTGTGAACCCAAAGTGTGCGCAAAGCATTGCGGTGTGTAATTGAATCTGCATCGGCAAAAACAACATACAAATAACTCCACTGCCCTTTGAGGTTGCTCATTATGCAGTATATTTGGCCATGGCTGGGGTATTGAGCTCAGCCTGACATTCCAGGATTTGTGGTTCTGAACAGCTAGAGCAGACAGTCTCAGAAGCTGCTTTCTCAGGCAGCTGGGTGCGATGGCTATGGTGCAACAAGTTCTACCAGCGTAACTGATCGGGCTCAAGGATCCAAAGACACCAAGAGCGGATGGTGCCGGTCGATGTATGCTTTGAATCCGTACTTTGCCTGCATGTACCCAGACAGTTCTTGAACTTTTCAACCACACAACGTCATAACCTCCTGACATTTCATGCATCTCAGGGTTGGAAACAACTCTGCCACACTGCCGGCAGTTCCTTGGAGAGCAACGCTGCAACATGTCTTTTTCCCTCTCGCAGATTGTAGGAACACATTGTGAGTGTATGATCCATGTCATTTCTTACAATCGTTATTTTATCCTGGCCGACCAAGGACACTGTGCTGGAAAATCTGACGCACTGGCTGGTTTATTCCGCTTCCAGCTTGGTAGAGCAAAGTACACCTTCCAGCGTGGAGATAGAGGAGGGGAACTATTTTTTGGCACTACAGTTTTGTTTCGCGGTGTGTAGCTCGATTCTTTCAGCAAAGTTGGCTGTTGATCAATTGGCACAACCAGCTGCATCCAAACAGCTTTCAGACTGTATGTTGTTGTGTCACGTTGTCACGTTCCATCAGGACCACAATGCTACAGTGGGCACTATCAGCTTTGTCGGCACAGATCTCAACATGGATGTGTCTTGAAAAGAATTGAAACGCATTGGTAGCTAATCCTCGTCCAGCCTCTCGTGACACTACTTGCTGGAGTCCAGGTGGTGAATGGAAGCTTGGTATGGCTACCTCCTGCAGATCTTCATTGCTTGGAGTATTATGCTCCTGGCTGCAATTGAACACTTCATCATGGCATCCGGCCACTTTTTTTGCCACACGTTTTGAGCTCAACTCATTTTATGAGCCATGCGGGCTGCCAAGAAAATGTGGATATATACTGGAACCGTGGAACCCTTAAAACTCGGACACGTCGGAAGCACCGTCATTCATTTCGGTGTAAAGGTTGTCTACATCGCCTCTGACACCTCGGGCACTGGTCGATCTAAATTGGGGGAGGCTCCTGTTGGCAGCAACTTCCTCGAGGCACGGCATGAGAACAGATTCTTTGCTTTGTACTAGCAAGGACGCTACTAGGGGCTCCTGGCATCGCTACTAGGAGCAAGG